TTGCTAGATGATCATTTGCGCTTAATCAAGAATACCAATTAAGAATCAAAGGACTCAATTATATTGTAATTTATTTCAGTTATGGCAACTTTTTGAATTTAATAGAAAAGATAAAAAAGATTTTAAAATAAAAGGATGGTAAATTAATTAAATTAAAAAAAAATGAAAATTAGATAATTTTTATGCAAACACTATACATAGTTTTCGTTTTGGAAAATGACAGAACCTCAGAGTAACGAAAAGGAGCCTGGGATCTGTTAAAAAATGTACACGTGAGACAAGGTTACAAACGCGACCCGTGTTCATTGTAATAACACGGAAACATGAGCCAGTGTAACAAGAATGTACCTAGATTCGGTGTAACGAAATGGAGCCTAGTATAAGTGTAACGAAATGATACCTTAAACCAGATAAACAATGCGAAATCTAAAGTTCTTTGGTTGAATTTGTTTAGCGGCATGTCAAACTCTATGGATTATTTATGCCGAAATCTAAATATTTTTAACACAATTTTATAGCTTCAACTAAATATATTTTGAACGCAATTGCATGCCTTCAACTCCAGATAAAATGTATTGTCGATCATTTAAATATGTATTGTTAGTACTTCTACTATAAAATGTATTGTTGGTAATTTTGCTAGAAATAAGTATTGTTGATATAATAGGCTTAGTGTGTTGGCTACTTCGATAATTAATGTGTAAGGTTTCTTAGGAGAGTGGTGGTGGCAGAAATCACAAAGACCGATTGATTTGCAATGCAAGGTAACATTTATTAAACAGCAAATGAAAGGTTTAGAGTTACTTTTCATAGAAGTAAATTGCATCAACAAAGAAAAAGTTAATGAACGTATTTGAGTGTGATTTACTTGTGTAGGTGTGCTTTAGTATGAAGCGTTCACAGACCTTCTTGCTTCAGTGTGAAAAGTTTATGGCGCACCCTTCAAAAAGAGGAAAAACAGGAAGAGATAGTTACTTAAGTCTTCGCTTGTGTTTATACCCCGAGGTTTGCTGTGGATACTATGTTTATTAAGGGCTGCTGCAGATACTATGTTTATTTTCATTTGAAATAGGTATTGTTGGTAGTTTTTATATAAAAATGTATTGCTGGTATGTTTACTATAAAAATATATTTTTAAATTTTCAGTGTTTAGTTTTTGTTTGGGTTTTCACTATTTGCCCATATCTGTGTTAAGGTGAACCTGAGAACAACAGCAATTAAGAGGTTGAATCTACTGCAAGAAGATAGTTCCTTAATGCCAATATAACAAAACAGACACTTAAGCCAGTGTGACAAGATGGGAGGTAGTGTTAATAAAATAAAACGGGGCAATCGTAAGAAAAGAAAACCTTGTGATACTGTAAGAAAATGGAACTTGGGACCAGTGTGACACGAAAGTCTCAAGAGACAGTGTAACAAAAGTGAACTTTAAACTACTGCAACAAAATTAAAGCTGGTGTCAAACCAAAAACTGCAACTAGTGGACAAGACAGCTAATGTAGCAAAACGGAAGTTGAAGCCAGTGTAAGAAAATAGATCTTAAAGCCAGTGCAACAGAACACAATTTAGAGTTAGTGTAACGTGGAAAAAACTGTCTAGTAACATTCAGTAGCACCAAAATAAAGCTATTGAAGTTCTATCATCACCGAACGGACATTTAATTTTCTAAAGTCATGATTTTCTCTCTCAATGGGACCTTGAAGTTCTGTTCAGATTAAAGTTTCATCATCTCATGTACGATTCGTCGCTAAAGATGCTGATGGAAATGCTCATTGCCTCTATCACTCCAGAATGTAGCTGACTTCCTCAGATCTGTATCTGTCTATATTTCTGAGATGAGGTATTATGTACACTATTTACATTATTCGGAATATTGTCCTCATCTTTGTTGCCATGTTTATCACAACGTTTTGGCCGTTGTACGCCCGACCTTCTTCAGGTGGTTGGAATGTCGAACCGAACCCTGAGTCCTTAAGGACACATGGCACATTGGATAAAGACGTTGGTTAGACCCAGTGACAGACCTGGTTAAGGCAGAGGTGAATTAACAGGACCTAACTGATAACTGACATCAATTAGACACATGGAACTAGAACAATCTACTCCAGTGAGCGAAATAAAAGGTTCAGTTCGACGTTCCAACCACCTGAAGAAGGCCGGAGCGTACAACGACCGAAACGTTGTGATAAATATGGCAACAAAGATGAGGACAATAGTCCGAATAATGTAAATAGTGTTCCTCCGATCTTTGCAAGAGTCAAATCATGACGGAAATGAGGTTTGACTGCTCTATCCGTGCTGGAGCTGATCAGTCCTCGCCTCCCAGTTTTGATAGAGTTTAAAATCATTTATGCGGTCTTGTAAGCGATGAATTATTTTCAACCCTACAGCCTCTTTACTATAGAAGAAACGTCTCAGGCTTTCCATGGTAAATGTTCAGACGAGATGCATTTTTTTATCGTACAAATTCAGCTCTCAACACCTAGGACGATCCATACTGCATACGGACTTTGTTTCGTATTCCATTTGTAAGAAAAAAAAGACAATGTTTTCCCGAGAACTACTACAGACCCCCGAGGGAATGCTTCTTCTATAACTCAGTTAACTACCTTCAATTCTAACGTCATCCGTTATAAATCTCACATATCCCCACTCACCATCTCTTCTTACATCAAGGTTTACGGTCATATCACATTGAAAGACCGGTTCTCGTATGATCGCCAAAGTTAAGAAAAGTTTGGATGTGCGAAAAGTGTAATGGATAACGAATCGGAATTGGAAATCGGGTGAGAGGTTCAATTCCATTCAGGTTCATTATATTCACTTAGACGCAAATACCTTCGGGAAAGGTCCACATGTTCTACCAGATTAATAGTTTATTTAGTAAGCCTTTTATCAGGAAATCATTATCTCCAAAAAATTCTTATAATCTAAACTAATTCCTGGATTGAAATAACCTGCGAAAGGTTGATAAGACGTAAAAAACAAAACAAAACAAAAAAACAAAAACAAATCATTCAGCCTCTTATTTCCTTACAGCATTCTCTCAAACTAGAAACGTACTTAGGCCTTTCTATTAAGTGAACATTTAGTAACAAACATCCATTAGTGTGGTCACATAAGGCAGGGGTTTTCAAACTTTTAGACTTGCGGACCCCTTTATATTTCAGGCTTTACCTTAGGAACCCCCTTATAAACGCTTATGAAATTTATACATAAATATTTGCTGAATATCACTCCAGAATGTAGCTGACTTCCTCCGATCTGTATCTGTCTATATTTCTGAGATGAGGTATTATGTACACTATTTACATTATTCGGAATATTGTCCTCATCTTTGTTGCCATGTTTATCACAACGTTTTGGCCGTCTGTACGCCCGACCTTCTTCAGGTGGTTGGAATGTCGAACCGAACCTTGAGTCCTTAAGGACACATGGCGCATTGGATAAAGACGTTGGTTAGATCCAGTGACAGACCTGGTTAAGGAAGAGGTGAATTAACAGGACCTAACTGATAACTGACATCAATTAGATACATGGAACTAGAACAATCTACTCTAGTGAGCGAAATAAAGGGTTCAGTTCGACGTTCCAATAATGCAAACGCCTAACAGCCAATGAGAAAGATGGAAATCGCAAAATAGATCCAAAATTCAAATCCTTTGGTTCCTTCTTTGCATGAATAGAATCCATTATCTTTATCAATTTAAGATACAAATTATATTAGTATATCAAATCTATGAAAATAGTTTATTGAATCAATTTATTTCATGATCGACCTATAAGTTACTTATAAGCGCTTATAAGTTTCACGTCACCCATAAAAAAAAAGTCTTTGCTGTCCACGGACCCCCTATCTTCTCCTTGCGGACCCCCCTGTGGTCCGCGGACCACAGTTTGAAAACCCCTGACATAAGGCAACCAGAATAAGAAAAACTGAGAGGAAAAGAAAATAAGCAAGATGCCCAATATTTGCCTGCGGACCGATCATAAACTCTACGCAGACCTTATCTGAATGGTGGTTATGATTTCGAATAATTGAAATATTCTGCTTCATTTAATAATTTCTATTGTGATGGCGATAATCTTATATGATTTTTCTTTTGGTTCTTTTATTGCAAAACTAAAAAAAAAATAAATAAAAAAAAAAAAAAAAAAAAAAAAAAATACAAAAGTTTTCGCTTTATTTTAGTTTCGCTTCAAGAATTTATTCCTCCCTTTCCATTCTTATTGTCATCGTCCTTTGATTTTAACATTTATATTCGGACAAACCTTTTTTTTTCCAGCTTCTCTTCTCAGAGATTTCAAGTTTAATGTTATTATTTGGCATCTTTTTTGTCTAGCTTACGGCTGTCTTTGATTGTTGCAGCTATCGATTAATATCTGTGATGTTTTTTTTTCTGTCTTTTTCGGTTTCAAGTGATGTGCGAGCGGCACTTTTCTGTATTGATATATAGAATTTAGTTAGAAAAACAAAGAAAAATGAGAAAAGAATTGAACGTTTGATTAAAAATGATTCTTCTTCAGATTGGCACGACAGTTATAATAACAATACAACCTTAATAACCCCGAAATATAATCAATATAGATTCACCGTATTTGTCTTCGAATAACACGCACCCTCACATAAGACGTCCTCCTTATTTTAAAAAGGTACGATCACCGAAGTTAAGCAAAGTCGAGCCGGTCAGTACTTAGACGGGTAACCGCCTGGGAATACCAGATGCTGTAAGCGTAAAGTTGCGGTTGGTTTAATTGTTAATAGCTGGAAATTGTTAATCGGAGAGCCGAGTTCCAATTCAAGTTCGGTTCGTTATATTCACTTAAACGCAAATACCTTTGCGAAAGGCATGAATCCACTTCTTCTTGTCCCATTCTGTATAAAAGAGGGAGTGCTGCCCAACTACGCTATTATTAAATTATATGACCCGACAGACAACTAGAAAAGTATCCGCAGTCGTTTTTAACAAAATTTGAATAAAAGAGTGATTACTGCCCAAATGCACATCTATCTATCTATCTATCTATCTATCTATCTATCTATCTATCTATCTATATATCTATCTATCTGTTATAACTGAACGTACCTATTCTATTATTAATAGAATCTCCCAGAGATAATAAGTAGTAGTAGTAGTAGTAGTAGCGGTCGCCGGTAGAGCTCAGTGGAGTTGAGTGAGTCAGTCGATACCGGACATTGAAGTATCAACCATCACAACTAGATTGCTGCGTCATTAACTCTTATTTCAAGTTCTTAACGTTTTGTACGTCGGACCCTTTTAGGACCAACTTAGCGAAATACAAGCCTCTACTGTGAAAACTACTCTACAACACTATCTAGCTATCTATCTCCCCCCCACTCTCTCTCTCTCTCTCTCTCTCTCTATATATATATATATATATATATATATATATATATATATATTGGGCTTTCTGAACGTGAGACCCGGGTTCGAATCTCACCATGGTCAATTTGGCAAGAAGGAGACTTCCTGATGTAATCGGTCAGCAGGGACGATCCAAGCGTATGGCACCTTTGGAAAGTGCCTGAAAACTATACCCAAGCCTTGTGAGTGAAATTGGGTAGACGGAAAACTTAGAGCCGTCGATATATGTGCTAGCACGAAACCACAAGTCATCGTGACCGAGGGTGTGTGATATGCTGGTGTTGTTCACAGTGTTGATCACTGTAGATAACACGCTCTCCCCAGAAACTGTAACTGGTATAAACCGAAGGTTTATATATATATATATATATATATATATATATATATATATATATGGAGAGAGAGAGAGAGAGAGAGAGAGAGAGAGATACATAAATAAATAACTCATCTTGGTACTGACCAGGCTTGACACCGATCGTAGTGATAAGGCCGCAAGTCATATCAATGTAAAGAATAAAGAACTAATTGCATCCGACATTTGCACGTATGTACGTATGCAGGAATGGTAGACATACCTTGGAGAATCATCTTTTTTTCTTAACAGGCTGTGTCGTCTAGTTCCATGGCAGTAATACTGTAATGCGTTCGATTCTAAGTAAGTAAGTCTACTTGCGAGCCTAGTAGTAAATAAGAGAAATGTAATATGTTTAATATCCGGGCTGATCTTATAAGCTATAGATAATGACCACGGAGCAGTTAAAGGTCCAAATTTGCTATATACTTTCGCAATTTCATGTAATCTATCTATCTATCTATCTATCTATCTATCTATCTATCTATCTTACATTTTTAAGGTTGTATGTCAGTTAATATTTTGTTTGTGTTTCTTTCTTTCTTTCTTTCTTTCTTTCTTAACAAGCTCATATCTATCTATCTATCTATCTATCTATCTATCTATCTATCTATCTATCTATCTATCTATCTATCTATCATGTTGCCTTTTCTTATCTATCTATCTATCTATCTATCTATCTTACATTTTTAAGGTTGTATGTCAGTTAATATTTTGTTTGTGTTTCTTTCTTTCTTTCTTTCTTTCTTTCTTTCTTTCTTAACAAGCTCATATCTATCTATCTATCTATCTATCTATCTATCTATCTATCTATCTTAATCATTACTAATCTATCCCTTTGTTCATTTTCTATCAATATATTTCAAGTTTTCCTAATGTCTCTCACTTTCTCTCTGTTTATATCCCTCGATTTTTTATTCTCTCTTTCTGTTTATCTATTTCATTTTTCTATCTATCTATCTATCTATCTATCTATCTATCTATCTATCTATCTATCTGGTGTATATTATTAGTAATGCCTTATTTTTCTATAGTACCATAAATGAAACTATTCAAGAATATAAAACTGGAATTAATATACGGGTGATGAAAAGTTCTCGATACTTTTGCCTTCGCAGAATTACTAATTCTGTTCAGTATATCAGAATACTAATATAGGGGAAATAGAACACATCGAGAACATTTTCAGCACCCTTTTATATATATATATATATATATATATATATATATATATATATATATATTCATATATGAATCTAATCTCTAACGTAGTTAATCTAAGTGAAACGCAATCGTAAATTTTTTGACATATATATTTTTTACAGATGCTTGTGTGGACGGGTAATTTAAAGATTAATCCATTACACTGTTTCGTCAAATCATAAATTTGAAGATCGTCTAACCGTTTTTCACTAATCATTCAACTTGACAGTCCATGAAGAAAGGGAATCTTTCTTAAGAAATTTGATTGACTGATGGCAGAAGAATTTAATCAAATTTAATTTACTTTGTTGGTTTACGAACTAGGATTGATCACCAGACCATAAAAGTTGCAGTGTTTTGCCTCTTAGACAAATCATTTAAGTTCTTGACGCTAAATACATATATATATATATATATATATATATATATATATATATATATATATATATATATATATATATAATACACGCACAAACACACTCATATATATACATAAATGATATGTAGAGTCACAGTTAGACAACTTGATCGATAAGTACAGACAGTGAGTGAAACATTAATTATGAGTGGTAGAATAATGGAGATACTAAATCACAAACTCCAAGACAGACGTCATCAATTAATATATAAAATTTTGCAAGTATATATTCCGGAAAATAAATACATGTACACACATGCATATATATCCTTCATTGCACATCACTTGTTTTGACAAACAAACACACACACATACACATACACATATATATGTATACATATATAGAAGTATATATCGTCGAGCGATTGCCTTGATAAATCTCTCAGAGGACGAAACGCGTCGGCTAAGTATAGTTTTTCTTCTTTTCTATTTTTATTCATTTTTCTCCTTTGCAGATACACTAATAATCTACATACACACGCACACACACCCACCCATCGTTTCAGCTTAGTGCTAAAGAGATCAATTAGAAATGATTTAACTCAATCCATAAGAAATTTGGGACGTGAGAGAAGAGTTTCAGCTATGACAGTTCAAAGAGCAGTGAAAAAATACTTGAAAATGAAAACGTACGTGAAACATGTAAGGCAGCTTGTTACCCCAGGACAGAAAGTTAGAGGGTTAGAGATAGCGAAGGTTATCTTGAATAAGTTGGAAAATGATCTTGGAATAATATACATAGCCTTTGCTTAGAATTTAGTTGAGAGATAATATGGGAGAAAAAAAAAAACAGAACCTACCAGTAGGATTAAAGAAATCGAAAAATGGCTTGCCATTTCTTACACAGATCAAAATCAAGATCAAAAATATGTAATGTGAGTTACTCGGAATTAGAAATCGGAGAGCCGAGTTCGAATTCCAGTCGGGTTAGTTACATTCACTTACGTGCAAATATTCTTTGGAAATGTATGAATTCATCTGCTGTCACCCCCAAGTCAAGAACTGAATAATAAGACAGGCAAGAGCCTTAGCTGGTAGCCAGTCTAACACAGAGAGAAACGGCAACCGACTGCGAGAAAATCTACCTTGTCGGTCATGAATCAAAAGCGACATGATCGCCGAAGCGTTTATCGCGCATGGCACTTAAATGACTGAACACGGATTAGTATTTACCAAGTATAAATAAGAGATGATTCATGTCCGACAGTGTTCAACGTTGCCAGCCTTTCACGACGATATCACTATTACTATGTGTCATATAGGAAGAAAATGAGTAACTCCCGACACCGAGGTTCGAACCTAACACTCTGGACTTATGAATATATGTTTTCCGCCAGGTGTATAAATATCGGTGTCAGGTTACTGACTGGAGTGATTATTGAGTGGCTATTAAATGGAACTATCCAGTCGAATTAGTGTGAGTTATTGTGCATCGATGATTTGGGTTTTCGCTTAGGATTTACCGGACGTTAAAGCGAGCCGTGCTGCTGACAAGATATTTTCTGAAATGGTTAATTATCTTTGGTTGACTTTTACTTCTTTGTTCTTGTTAAGTATTTATTTCCGGTTGCAATTAAATACTGTTTTATTTTAACACTGAAGTCTTATACTTAATTATTAAGGGCCATCTTATGTCACAAAATTATGGCAGATATTCGGACGAGTTTCATTGCTTAGTTCCACCAGCCCAGACCTTCACAGCTAGGACCCAGCATGCCATGTGCACCTTGCAGTGTTATTTTCATTTTTGTGTGATTTAGACGACAATTTATCCATCGCATCCCGTATTTGCCTATTCGTATCTATCTATCTATCTATCTATCTATCTATCTATCTATCTATCTATTTCAGGCTATTCCTTTTTTGCCTTCTTTCTTTCTTTTTCTTCTTTCTCTCTTTTTTCTACTTTATGCTCTTTCTGTCTTTCTTTCTATTTCAGACTATTACATTTTATCTATTTCTCTCTATCTCTCTCACGCGTTCTCTCTCCTCATATATATATATATATATATATATATATATATATATATATATATATATCCTCCTAAAATAGTAGTGGCACACGGTATGAAGATAACATTGAGGGATGAAACTGCCAGCATGCCGTGTTCATCTATCTATCTATCTATCTATCTATCTATCTATCTATCTATCTATCTATCAGTGTTGATAGCAGGCACAGAAAAGAAACTGCACGAGTTCATATTGAATACAGCAATGGAAAGCAAGAACAAAGGACTAAACGTCAATTGTAAGAAAACATCAGCAAAATAAACAGTTCAAAATGCGAAGTACGAATTGGAAACACCAATATCAAACTCCAAAACTTTCCAATATTCCAGAGTGTTTTAACAGAGGTCAGAAAATACAACACAGAAATCTGAAGGCGATTTGGAATTGCTTCCAAAAACTAAGGAAAATATTAAGAAACAGCAAAATTTTGTTAGAAACGAAGAAAAGTGTACTGAACTGTTATGTCGTATTGGCCCTTCTATATGACAGTAAATGCTGGACAATCCGATCAGAGGTGTAGAAGAGACATGAGACAACAGAAATGTGATTCTACAGAACGAAGCTGAGCATAGACTAATCACGTGACCAACAAAAGTCAGTAACATTTTTAGAACACATAATAAGGAATGAAGGCTTAGAAAATTTGTCACTCACAGGACATAATGAAGGTAAGAGAGAGAGAGAGAGAGAGAGAGAGAGAGAAAGAGAGAGAGAGAGAGGGGGGAAGCAGCGCATAGCCTACCTGAGGATCCTGGGGAAACGGTTGGCAGAACAGGGATTAGGAATGATAACAGAAAGAAAAACTAACGTTACAAAGTCATTGAGAGCTACGATCGCCAACACCTGGAATCGACACGGCACATAGAGAAAGAAGGATAATCCTTAATACCGCCAAAGATAACTACATAATTCATATGAATATGTACTTATGATACCTTTTCCTACTTGTCCTGGATATGACGATAAACTACATCCGGCAGCAAGGACTCTGTTCAGGAGATTAGAGGTTAAGAGGAGTATGAAACCATCTATTTAATACTGTTGTTCCTATGTACAACCTGATCGTGGGTGGTAGCACCTGTTAGGGTCCCAGCTACAGGCAAATAGTGAACACCCAAACAGTATATTTTTTATAATAAAATAACCCACAATATATATTTATAGCAAAATGACAAACAATGCAAAACTACAAAAATTATAAAAATATATTTTTTATAGTAAAATGACCAACAATACATTTTATGATCTACAAAATATGTCTACAAAAACATAGCTTTACCTTGAAAGTACAAAATGTATGTACAAAAATATATGTACCAAATATATGCTCGGTCTCACGTTGACTGCTGACCTGAGATGGAACAAATACATTGAGTCAATTGCTTCGTCCACCGCAAGGAAAATTGGCTCCCTGTGCCGCGATGGGAAATTTTTCTCCCCGGAATCAATCCTCCAGATCTACAAATCAACAATTCGCCCTTGCATGGAGTATTGCTGCCATATATAGTCTGGAATCCCTTCTGTTTGCCTCGGGGTTCTTGATAGGCTGCAGAGGCGGATATGCTATATAATTGGCCCTGATCTGGCATCTCGTCTACAGACACTTTCTCACAGACGCGCCGTCACCTCTCTCTGTCTGTTTTACAAATACTTCCATGGCAATTGCTCCGAGGAGCTGCATTCGCTAGTTCCCAGACTTCATGAGTTCAAGCGCCCTACGAGGCTGGCATCCCGCTCTCACCCTTTCACTGTCGAAACTATTAAATGTAGTCGTCTCTTATACTCTAATAGGTTCATGTCTCGCACCTCTTGCCTGTAAAACTCCCTTCCCTATTCCATTTTCCCTGAGAGCTATAATCTCCAGCTATTCAAATGTAATGTCAATCGACATCTCCAGTTGCCTTAATCTATCCACTATCCTTCTCCTCATCCTTTCCTCTATCACTCCTATCTGATCTTGCTCCAAATCTTCTGTAACCCCTTGCGTCCTAGTGGCTTCTCGCCTTCCTTGGGGTGAAACGCTTAAAACAATGTATCTGAAAGTATAAGATTACGTAAAAAATATTTAGATTTAGGCATTAAGTAACCCATAGAGGTGTTGATATGCCGTCAAACAAAGTCAGCCAGCCAAACAACCATTTTGAAAGAACTCCATTCCAAAAACATATTTTCAACAAAACTACAACATAAAACGCACATATAACTAGTAATGATGTCCACACAAACATGTATATACACAAAAGCTGAGCATCAGTTACCATGTATTCAATTGTGAAATCGAAATAACGCGTACAATATCTTTATTACTTCAAAGTACCCAAGAGAATTTCAGTATTAGGGAGTCATGATATACCATTAAACATAAATCAGTCAATCACTTCTACATTTTACAACTAATTTATTCAATATTTATCTAATAGTGAATTTTCCAGAATGGAGTACATGTTATCAAGCTAAGTCTGGCATCATCGCCATGGTGTGGGATACATTTTAATCTTGAATAAACTGAGCTTAATAAATATATATATGTATACCTCGTTGTTGAGTAACGATAGTAGACAATTATCAGTGTACTGAGGTCAAAACTAATTGGGTACTCTACAATTCTAATCTTGTGCTAGATTAATGAAACTAAATAAATACGTGCATCTATTACATCGTAATATATATATATATATATATATATATATATATATATATATATATATATATATATATATATTGCATCATACATACAAAAAAGGAATCAATAAGTTCAAAGCCTAATGATGAATAAAATGCGCGGTTCTTCTATACGGAAAATGTTTATTTTCCAACATCATCTTCAGTCGTGTTAATACAGTTAAATATGTTTTGAGTATTAATCTCATGAATGAGTTCGAAATCCACGTATTGATTTGTTAATGTATTGATTCATCCTGTTATGTACACATCGATTGATTCTTGCGCGAGATTTTTGATCTGCTTTTACGAGGGATCTATGAAATCAGTTTTCTCATTTTACCTTTTTCTATCTAAAGTTTCGTATTTTTTATATTTATTTTTTCGCTTCATCACAGCAGGAGTAAATGAATCTCCTTGCAGTTATCAGTCTCATTCTTTTTTTCTTTCTGTTACTCACAAAAGTAATATTTTTTTCTTTCTTTGTTGACCTGTTTCTTCTAATTCTTTTTTCTCTCTTTTCTTTCTTTCTTTCTATTTTATTCTATATTACTTTCCCTTATAATTTCTTCTTTGCTTCTTTCTTTCGTTTACTTCTATTTCCTTTCTTTCTTTTCTATTTCGTTTGTCTGTTTCTTTCTTTCTTTCCCTTATATTTTGTTCTTTCTTTATCTCCTTATTTACATTTTCTTTCTTTCTTTTTCTTTCTTTCTTTCTTTCTTTCTTTCTTTTTCTTTCTTTCTTTCTTTCAAATTTCCTCTTTATTTTCTTTCTTTTTTAATTTGTATTCTTTCTTTGCATCACATTTTCTTTTTCGTTTATTTGTTTGTTTTCTTTCTATTTTCTTTCTGTTCTATTTTCCTTTCATTCCCTTCTATTTTATTCTTTCTTTCTAATTTGTCTTTTTTCTTTTATTCCCTTATATTTTATTCTTTCTTTCTCTCCTTATTTACATATTTTTCTTTCTTTCTGTTGTGGATTTCGGGTTGAAATCCGGTACCAATAAATAACAAACGCCAGGAATGAATATATGAAAATAATGTATTAACGTAATAATACAAACTGGTAAAGCAGGTTAGTAGTTCCAGGCATACGGGTTAGTAGTAAAATATATATATATAGTCTTTGGTATTGAAGTATCGCTGTATGACTTCTTACTGAGTCTACGTTCTCGCTCACTGTGACTCCTACAACGCTGTTACCTCACCCTCACTCTTCCGGTTACCTACAACCTTTTACTCTGTCACTCTGGACTCGACTCGACGGTCTTGCTCCCTCTCTTCCCCTCGTCTCGCTCTTGCAGTAGTATATGCATATACTGGGTGAGTCCATTTGTATAAAAAAGGGTGGACCTCTCAACACTTTCTTTCTTTCTTTCTTTTCCTTATATTTTCTTTCTTTCTTTTTTTTAATTATTATTCTTTCTTTCCATCAGATTTTCTTTTTTGCTTATTTGTTTGTTTTCTTTCGATTTTTCTTCTTTTCTATTTTCCTTTCTTTCCCTTCTATTTTATTCTTTCTTTCTTTCTTTCTTTCTTTTTGTTCTTTCTTTTTTGTTGCGTTGGTTCTTCATAATCATTTTTTAGGTGTTTCGGCGTGAAGTAATCGATAGTGAGGCCAATCTGATTAATCATTAGTGTAGATTTGGTACCTCACTGAGCGACCTATATAAAATTCTACATTAAATAAACTAATACGCTATACCATAGCATTGAATCAACCTACACAAATATTCAGGGGTGATGTATTCATCATCCTTGTCAATTTAAGTCTCAGTAGTTTCCGGTTTTTTTTTTTTCAATTTTTAACGATCTTTTCTCAATTTAACTCTCACGCTACTTTCTTTCTGGCTTTCATCCTTTCTGACAGCCTCAAAGCAATTTTCATGCACTTAATGACCAACCCAATACACATAATTGACATTACTATTAAGTATTATAACCTTTCTGCTTTCTCTAAAAGAACCTTTCACTCTGGCAGTTTTTCACTTCCATAGTCTTCGCGGTTCTTTTTCTACTGTTGATTACCGCAATTCATGTCTTCATCATCATTGCTCGGTGCGAATTTTCCGGCCAGAGCCAATAGATTGACTAACAAAAGCCCACCTTAATCATCAATTCATTGCGACAGGCGGGCCTGTCAAGATGGTCGCCGTCCCGCCTTTTTTTTTCTATGTTGAAAACGTCACTTCGGGCATGTCTGACATTACCTCAGCATTCTACTTTTGTCCTATCGTACCTCTTTGAGATTCTTGCTTTCGGCACGACGTCGTTTGAAACGAGAGATTAAGTACGAAGACATTTTGGAGAATGAGAGAGTGTGTGTGTGTGTGTGTGTGTGTGTGTGTGTGTGTGTGTGAGTGAAGTCGAAATAAGCAAAAACAAGGAGAAAAAAGGAAAAGAGACGAAATAAGAAAAAAACGCTTTTAGCTTTATATCGGTGACAGTGCTACTGCAGATGATTGTATCTAACAACTTTTTGAACAGCGTGATTAGGAACTGCAGAGGAATATGATCTCACGTATAATGTATTTTCTTTTGTAGATGTTGAATAAATTGAAGATATTAATGGTGGGTTGAAACTGTCTAAAACATTTCACTAAAGAAAATTTATATATTTCTTTATTACTTATATTTAACGAAGGCAGGGTGCAGATATTTCAATTGTACCTATCTTTTGCTTGTATATATGTAGATATAACTGACATTAAATATCGGCGTCTTTTAAGCATTACAGTCCCTCTGAGGCTATGCAAATCTTATAAACCTCAATATCTCAAATTTGTTTGAACATTTTTTTCAAATTTTAAACAATTAATTTAGCCGTCAAAACAAAGTTTGAGTTAAATGTGTTAGGTCGTTTCAACAAGTTTTATCAAAACTATTGGATTTATTATAAAAACTCCAGTTTGAAGTGTTGTAACCTAGAGAAGGTTACTGAAAAGAATAATCAAACGAAGTTTGGTAATGAACGATAATACTTATGATAAGAATATAAGATTCGCCAGCGGCGCGTAGAAGTAGTCAACTGAATTTCACATTGAATCTCCAACTGCAGGATATTTGCCAACCGGCCTAAACTGTCAGATGTGGCACAAGGCCGAATTAAATGTGGGGTATCCGAGCCCGTAGACTCGGCCAAAAAATACCCGTAGACCACGTATAAAACGGGGCCGCGTAGTTGTTTCCCGAGACGAGACTCTGCCCTTCGACAAAGCTTTCTTGCTTTCGGCACGACGTCGTTTGAAACGAGAGATTAAGTACGAAGACATTTTGTAGATTCAGTGTGTGTGTGTGTTTGTGTGTGTGTGTGTGTGTGTGAGGCAGAAATAAGCAAAGAGGCAGAGAGTTTGACCATCACGGCTGGCGACGTATCTCGCACTTAACTGTAGACCAACATACAGTATTTACTACTGTACTTATGTTAATGGAGATATATCTATTATCGCCCGTAAGTATGCTACAACATGAAGTTATGATGCAAAACCAGAAAAATCACCCTTTACTTAAATAACAACGTAATAAAATCATCAACAATTGCTCAACATCTGATGATTGCGTCTATCATGAAAACAGTCTTTTGCCTCTGAGTTTTGACTTCAATGTTCAATTTATATATATATATATATATATATATATATATATATATATATATATATAAACCTGAAACTGATTTTCAATACACTATGATAATCCCTGTATCCATAGTGACTCTTACATATAGTTTTAGGACCCTTAAAAACTAAAAGATATTTAAAGGTATATATACTAAGTTCTTTTTCATCTCTGAAATAATTTTTAAATAGAATTTTTTTTAAATCAGATATTTTTTTCTTATGACGTTATTTCTTTCTTTCATTTTATAGTCAACCGAAGCCCAGTATTGGCAAATACAATATTAACCGTTTCCTTATAAGGAAACATTGGGCATTCATCGAGCAGACAGTCAGTGCTACTTTCAATTGAAATTTATAAAATCTTTTTCTTCAAAGGATCATTCAGAGAAATAATTTTTTAATCATTTCACCCTAGAAAAAGGCTGGAATCCTACGAGCATGCAGACGGGAGTTAACTTGCTATCACTGTTTGACTTGCTATCACTATTTGCTTTTCTTTGGTTAAACATTGAAATTGTTAACAGTCAACCGTTAATCGAGAAGTCCTTCTGAAGAAAAACGTCCAAGCTCGAATTTATCTCACATTTTATATTTTTATATTTACTATATTTTATATTTACTGAGAGCAGCAAACTAGACAGAGAAATAGAGACCAGACACCAGAAATCCAATGCAGCCAGTTACCAACTTGCTCCTCTTCTAAAATATCCTAGCATTGCCATGAGCATCAAATGAAATCTCATCAACGCCATTTTCCTACCAACGCTGACATACCAGTGCCAGACATGGCCCCAGACCAAAAAAAAAACCCTTGAGAGGAAACTGAGCACTTGTGAGATGAAATACCCGAGAAAAGAAGTGAATAAGACCAGCCGAGACAAGATCAGGAATGAGGCAATAAGAGATATGGTAGGAACAATACCAATCATACAACACATCGAACGGCAGAGGATAATGTGTTTCGGACATCTCACTCGTATACCTATCAACCAACCAACCCTACGAGCATAGACCCTCAGGTACTCTGGCTGGACAGCGAGGGGAAGACCAAGAAGACGCTGGAGCGACTCAGTGACAGACACTCCCAGAGGCCACGAGATATCTCACCTATAGGCTACTCTCCTTGCTGCTGACAGACGACTGTGTCTTTCCGCGACGCCTGACAGCACAACCGAAATGAAAAACTAAACTATATTTTTAAACGTATAGGCAAGGCAAGTTTAATTTTTATGTCTGCTTTTTTTATAATTTTATTTAATTTCTGTGATCTTGTTTTTTTTTTTTTACTGTTATCAGCTTTCCGTGGTGTATGGATTCTTGAACTTTTTCCAGACATTTAAAAATGTATATGTATATTTACTGTCGATGTGTGTTACTATTGGACATACATTGTGTCCGCGTTTATTTCTTTAAACCGACATTTACACTTTCCCCGTCTTACGCCATGTTACCCATTTTCTAATTCATTACTGAATCCTAAATGGTTTAAATATTCTCTTCGGGTTACGACGTTATCAAGTGGAAAAACCAGTTCTTTCTAGTACGATCAGCGAAGTTACGCAGCGTCAAGACTAGTCAGTACTTCAATGAGTAACCGCTTTTGAAGTTACAGTTCAGGTAGGATTCGTTATATTCACTTACGTGCAAATACACTTGGGAAAGGAATAAATCCATCACTTATACTCCCCCAGCTACGGGTTAATTAGTAGAACTTGTATCACTCGATTATTATTCTTTCCAATAAATTTTTACAATATAAAAATATTATCTGGCTTTAAATAACATGAAAAAGATTGATATGCCGTGAAAATCAAATAAAACAAAATATATTTTTCATTTAGGTTAGCTTTCTTCCGTTCCAGGTTAATTTTTTGGATGATTGATCAACTCATTTTATACATTGTTTTGGTGAGTTCTTGTTTCAATTATTTTTCCATCTTTATTTTATCTATTTATATGATCGAGTTACTTCAGTGTGTTTATCGGATAACTTTTGAAAGAGTTTTCAGTAATATCGTCTTCATAGTGAGCTACACATTACTGATCGTTCGACTTACTGAACTTGCTTTTTATAGTCAAACAAAGCCCAGTATTGGGAAATAAAATATTACCGTTTCCTTATGAGGAAACATTGGGCGTTCATCGAGCAGACAATTGAAATTTATAAAATCTTTCTCTCTCTTTTTTTTTTTTTTTTAAGCGTTTCACCCCAAGAAGGCGGGAAGCCACTACGACGCAAGGGGTTACAGAAGATTTGGAGCAAGATCAGATAGGAGTGAT